GGCAGCTGGCACGGGACACAGAGCCACCGGGAGGTCCAGGGTGCACTGTGGAGAGTCGCTGAGGTTGAGGCTGTCCTCCAGTGTAGTCTGCAGGCTGCCTGCTGAGCTGCTGCTCCGGCTGTCCAGCGAGGGATCGCTCTCAGGGGCCTGGGGAGCAGGCGTGTGAAAATAAGAGCAGGCGTGTGAAAATAAAACACAATTAGCCACAATTAGAGAAAAAGGAGAAAAACTCCAATTCCTCTTTCTCCTCTGCTGGGGAGGACAGCTAAAAACCACCTGAACAATGCTACAAAGCACCAGCCATTCAGTTTGCCCAGGGAAATCCTTTCCAGAGGAGGAAAGGTTTCAATATTTTGAGCTCTGATTTCATTCTGTTCCAGGATGAATCTTCCCCTCCCATGTGAAATGCTCCACTAAAGGGAAGGGGTGCTGGGTCTGTAAGCTCTGCAGCCCCTGCTGCTGGGGTGCTCCTGCCCACTGGCAGTCCAGAAGGCAGCAGGGCTGAGATTCCCTGTGGATCCCTGCTCTTGGCTTCCCTGTGAACATGCCACACTGGCTGCAGACGCATCAAAACCATCAGCTTGCCAGAAATCAGGGGACTTCTGTACATAGACCTCAGGCCCTGTACATAGACCTCTCATTAAAAAATCAGCAATGTTTGAGGAGAGAAAAGACGCATCCTAGTTCTTTTGACCAGCACTAGTGACAATGATGATATTTAGGACAGAAAGGTGGGGTCCCCTTCCAGCAGAAAGGGGAAACAGCCTTAATTTCCTTGTATCAGTGCTCATTTAGTTAAGCTGCATTTCAGTTGTTCCTAGGAAATTGGTCTGCACTATGAGATCATCACTGGGACACAGCATTGGGAATGATGGATGTAGGACTGGAAGTGGTCTCCTGAACCATAGCTATTCAATGCAGTCAGCATCACATAATCAGAAGTTTACCAATTTCTCCTTCACAACAGTTCAGTACTTTTGCCCCAGTGGTATGCCAACTCCAGAACTCTTCCTCTTCATGTCTAAACCTATACCAGAAGTTTCAATGCCGCAACAACCCAGCAGCTCAGCTCGAGGTTAAATTTATCCCTGGTGAATTTATACACCTGGTGAATTTATATATTGTGCCAACAGTGTCTGTCACATAGAACTGGATAACATATGATTTTATTTTTTATTTTTTAGTTTGTCTGGAATAGAATGTCCCTGTATTCCTCAAACAGGAATTGTTCATGGAGTATCTTCCCAGAACAATAACACGGATCTCTATTGGACTTTCATCTCTGCTTCCTCTGCTCTTCAGAGGCACTTGATCTTCCCTCAGCACTTTTATTCTTCTCTTTCATTAGTGAGAAATAGCTGCCTTTTCAGAAATACATAGAGTCTTTCTGGGATGTAACAGCTAAATGGGCAGGGGAAAACTGAGCTCAGGGACACCGTGTGTGGATGTGGCATGAAGGGCTGTGGAGGAGGTAGGTGGGGAGAAGCCTGTTCCAACCAAAGCAGGTGTGTGATCCAGAGTCACGGTGCTAAGAGGAGCCGAGGTGGGTGTGCGGCTGCGCGGCTGCCATCTGCCTGGCTTTCACGGTGGCTGCTGTGCATGCAGCTTACTCAGCACAGGGGACCCAGGAGCGAGCTAGAATGTGATGTGATTTTGTCTTCATGTGGGGCTAGCTGCTGCTGTTAAACTATTTTTTGATCCAAAGCAGAAGAATGTATGATTTCAGGGGGTGAGAGCTATACAACACCCCTTTGCTATACAACCCTCTCTCCTCCCCAGCCACCCTGCACTCTGCAGTCCACTGTGCTCCTCTAACAGGTTAGATCCAGATCACCCAGCCCCTGACCACAGCTGTCTCTCCCCTTCTTCTGCCTTCCTTCCTGTTCAGCCCCCTCTGTTTGGGTGTCATGTGAAGATCAAGCAGGGGTTCTCACCTGATGAAGTAGTGAACAGTTCACACTTGGAGATCTCAGTGATGCCCATGAGCCTTGCAGAGAGATCTTAGGAAGGTTGCGTGGACATGAGACTTTCTCAGGCCCTGTCTGGGTGGCAGAGATAGCCGGGTGGAAAAATTCTGCTGGCACAGGTAACAGAGGGCAAGATGCACCTGGAGAGAAGGGGCTGGGAGGGACTGACAAAGCACCAAAAGAAATGGGGAGGAGAACAGAAACAGAAAAAAAAAGAAGTTGAAGAAAATTGAAGAGTCCTCCAATTTGATTTGGTGCCTTTGCTGCTGTTGCACTGAGGGTCCTGCAAGTCCAGTATACAGAGGATATTTAGTAACATACACTCCTGGCCAAGAAGACTCAGTCTAGTGTTCACACCATGGGCCCCCCTTTCTACACAAGGACCAAAACCTGCACCAAACCAGGAAGATCTAACAGGGCTCAGAGCTATAAAGCAATAGCCCAGCTTGTCTCTCCCCTTGCTGCTCTCACAGAGAAATACCTTGATTCAACTACGTATTTTTCTTCCCACATCCTGCAAGGCAAGGGCTGAAAGGAGATAAATAAACTGGTGGCGTAGGAAACCTGGGGACCACAGGAGGCCAGAGGGTGCTCAAGAGTAGAACTGGAGCACTTCCACCAAGGGGAGACACATATTACGTTCCCTGAACCTGTACCTGAGGAGCCTGGTCTCAGGGGGCAGCAATGTTCTATCATGCCAGGAGAGGCTGTCCCCACTCTTCTCTGACTGTGCATGGGTGCACTACTGTGACTGGGAATCAGTTCTTTCATGACACTTCACATAAGCAAGTCTGAGGGAGGATATAAGATCTAGCAGCAAAAGATGGAACTGCTCCTCACTGCATTCCTGAGGACTGGCAAGCTGAAAGCTAAATTCTTGGTTAATGTAACCCCATAACAGATTAAGTCCATCCCTGGCAGGGGGGAGTCAAGAGAAAGGCAGATGAGCTGAACCAACCCACACTTTCAGCAGATCTGGAGAATGATGAGAGCTGTGCTCACCTTTGGTACTTTCATGCTTTAGCCAAGACTGGACTGAGTTGAAAGGAGTTTTCTCCATTTCACACAGATAACTGTCTGGGTTTGTAGAGCCATCTGCACTGGATATTGGGAGCAGGCATTCCCCTACATCTCCTTCCCCTTTGGAGTCAGGGCTGTCCTGGCCTTCCTGCTGGAAAAAATAAGGAAAAAGCTTTGTGAAATTTAATGGCAGATGACAGAGCAGACTTGTCAAAGCCTCAAGAAGGTCTGATTCTGAAGAGATCTTCAAGCTAGCTAAGAGATGCTCAGGTTGCCAGCCCAAATCCCCTAAATTTAGGGTCATTCAGAGGAAGTTACTGACAGTAGTGAAGAGAACTTTCAAAAACATATATCCCTTTTTTCTCCTCAAATCCTTCTTCATGACAGTCTCTATGGTGAAGCTCTTGAAAAGTGACCAGAATTTATATTCCTCAGCAGGGACACTTGGATGAATACAGAGCACTTCACATGAGCAGGGGCAGAAATACAGCACATGGTGCAACACGCCCATGACCACCTGGGGCTAACCTTGATCTCCTTAGGACTCAGGTCTGACTCATCTCCTAGAAGGATGGAAGAGGACTTGTCTGAGTTGAGGGATAATGCTTCCATTTCAGCCAGCTGAACCTGCAGGAAGGGAAAGGAGCTGTCACCGGTCATGCCTGGCATCCACATTTCAAGCAGCCACACTGTTTATGGTGGATAAGTGAGAGCCTGTAGACCCAAGATCAATTTTAGGTTATATTCCATGGATACATCAGGTACTGCCTAACCCAGACCTGGGCTGGACAGGAGAATCCACTTTTTAAGGAAGGTTGAACATATGATCTGCAAGCAGCCCACCACCAGTCCATGCTCCTCTAGTGCCAGAATTGGAGGAAGGAGTCTTGAATCTGTCCCAGTGATACAGCTGGTACAAGGCCCTGCAAGTAAAGCCAGGTGGGGAGAGGGCTCCCTCAGGCCGGTGACAAGGCAGTCTGCTCTGCTGAGGGATGAGGAGTGGACCCCTCTCTCTGAAGGCACCACAGACAGCCCTGCTTAAACATGAAGGTGCTTTCATTCCAGGGATAGTCATGCCTCTTGCAGTCCATGCCAGTATCATGCTTTTCATATTCTCTTACCTTCATCACTGAAACCCTGTTTCCCTCCAGCTTCCCTGTGTCTTCCCGCTCCTCTCACCTCTAACCTGCCCAAGACCTCAGCTAACACCATCTCCCATCCTGCTCTCCATCCCTAAACTCATCCCTCCCGCCCACCCATACCTATGCTCTCTTGCTTTCTGAAACCAAGTCTGACCACAGCATCTTTCTCATCCTTGCAACTCAGCTCCGTTCCCGGCCCATGCCTGACCTTGCTTCATCTTTTGGCCCGTTTCATACCACATGTGCCCCTCTCCCATTCTCTTTCCTCCAAGCTTTCAATTCCCCTCTCCCTGACCTCTCTTTTCCACAATGCCTGAAAAGCATCTCCTTTTTCTAGTAGCCTAAGCAGCTGCTCTGTCCCTCCTGTGCTTGGTTTTCTGTCACTGGTCTCGAGTCCCACCAGTTTCCACCACCAGCACCTGACTCGAGAGCTATATTCTGGGTTGTCTCAGTCAGGACAGCTTGCTTCCTGGCCATTTATCTTGTTCTCCCCTGTGTTTGTGTTTGCAAGAGGCGGGTACAGCTTTTGTGCTCTAAGAACAGGTGGAGCATTTTGAAAGATGACTCCTTCGAGCTGGGAGTTTAGTGGCTTGTGCCAATGCCAGAGACTGGAAAAGGTCTCCATCTGAGGGATAATGAACTTCGAATAAACAGGATGGAAAACCAGAGCTAGATTTAAATAAAGGGCACAAATGACATCCTTATTTGGGATATTATTCTGACACAGGAACATGGTGCTGTTCAACCATGAAGAGAGCCCAAAACCAGCAACTGCTCCTCAGAGCGCAGATGCACTGGAGAACCCACAATGAAGTCACGTCAAGCACGCTACACAGCCACCAGTCAGCAACTACTTGTGTAGAGAAACACAGTCTTCATTCAGTCCCACTTAATGTGTGTACTCATCCATTACTCGCCTAAGTGCTTGTTACACCAGAACAACCTTACAGCTGTGCTCGTAGAGACACGAGGGTGAAATGTGATAACATCTGTGACTACCTTCTCCATCCATAAAAAAGGGTTTCAACAAAAACCAGAACAGTCTGTTCTTCACTGAGCCATTTGCTCACAAATTCCGGCCACCCTGGAATCTACACAAAAGACATAATCAACGAAGTCATGAATAGATAAACTGCACGTGTGGAAACACAGTTCACCGTTGCTCACTGGCAAACTCCTGCCACTGGCTAAACACACTATCAGCCACCAATACACAGATGTAGTCTAACTGTCAACCAGCCCAAGAGTGAAAGGATAGTGATGACAAGAGAAGAGGTTAGTAGTATGAAAAAAAGATGCTTTGTTCTTATAGCTTCCATTACTGCAGAATAATTTAAAATCTTCTGACTAAAGATGAGGAACAGAAAAAAATTTAAAAAATGCAGTGGGGGGAGAAGGGGCTGCTCACTAGGAACACAATCCATGAAAACTGCCAGGCATGTCAACCTGAGACACTGAACCAGGCACATATATCCCTTAGAATATAACTAGTTGCAGATATATCTTTAAGAACAGAGCCATGATTACAAAAATCCTTAATTGTACAAATAATTGGTTTGAAAATAAGATGCCAGCAGCTTAACTGGGAAAGACACTGAGCACTTCTACTCAATGCAACAAAAAGCTTAGCACATATTAATAACTTCGAGCATATGTTTAAGTTGTTTTGTTCATCCACTGTGCTCCGCATCTTGATGGATTAAACTACAAACAAAATGGGAGTGAACACTTTTGGCTAATATGTGATTTTTGTCACAAGGGCAGCGTTAAGGATGATTCGGTGGGCAGCAAGCATACTATTTTTTTTGAACACACATGTATTGAATAGGACTAGATAAATCTGTTTTGCTTATATAACTTGTTGTCGAGTGCTTCTGAGATAGTACAATTCTGTCTGTGAGTACAGTGCACATTCGGATATGTTGATGTATGACACTACACTCTAATTTATTAATGACTGTGCGCATTGCCAGTGTTAGTGCTGGGACTATGCTAGCTGTGACTCCATGTAGTGATTTCCTGTTGGAATTTCCTTGATGTTTTCTATACTATGAAATATGAAGAGAAGGTCATGATCAACCGTGACTTAAAATCCTGAGCTTTAGTTTTGATTCATATGATCAGGGAAAAAAAAAAAAAAATCTACATTTTACTTCCAAAGTTATTCCTGCAGATACAGATAATTTCTTTCCAATTTCACATTTTAGACATATTGAAATATCAACTTTGAAAAATAATTTATGGCTCTATAACAGCCATTAGAAAATATGATCTAAGAATAATTCTTTGGTTGTGATTATTCTGTTAAACTCTTTGCTCTGGCTTTGGGTTGCATTTGAAGATTTTGCTGTCAAGTTTCCTTGCTGGGAAGGTAGAAAAATCTGTTGTTGTCTTCATTCCTAGGCAGGATACTGAAGACTATCTGGAAGGTTTTCAAATGCAGCAAACTAACTGAAAATTACTTTTCGGGGTCATCATTCTGGAATGCCTTAGAAGACCTGATTTTCTGAGAAGGCTGAGAACCAGCTGCTGAATATAAGGACTTATGTAAAGCAGTGGAAATTGTAGTTAATTGAAAACTAGTTATTTGGCTGGATTAATGCAGCATCCATTTGTAAAGTGTTGCAATACTGATAAACTACAGCAATGTTTGTAATTTGATACTTTCGAAGGGATGCTATGGGGACAAGCAGATAGCTGAAAGGCTGAAAAAAATAGAGCATCAGAACTAGCTATCTGAAACCAAACATATATCATTTTCTTCAAACATGAATAGAGTAATCTGCCAATGAGACCTCTCTTCCCAAGTTTCCTGGTTTCTTTTCAAGCAATAGCAACATATCAAGTTAGTTATGGGGAAGGAGATGGTGAAGATTGCCACTGATATCTTGATGTACTGACAGATGAGCCAGGCTACTGTCACAAGTCTGACCACAATCATAGCACTTAAATACAACAAAATTATTTCAGAAACAAAATTAATTCTGCTACTCACCTAACTTCTCCCAGGCTACTTTGCTCCTGAAGTTTCACAACATGAAAAGACTAATTGCTTAGGAAGTAGTTTTCCAAAGCATCTCCTAGCTTTAGGAGCACAAGTCTAGGCCATTTGGTGTACTGCTCTTAGGAAGAACTCATTTGTCAGCTAACAGGTTCTACATCAGAAAAGAGACTCTCAAACTTTCTCAGTAGGCCCATTTGTATTTAGTTTTTGCCCAGACTAATTAACTGTTTTTCACCACAAACCAATCCTTGCTCACAGACAGTGATTCTATTCAACAAGGCATTTAAGCATGTGCTTAATTCATTGACCTCAATAGGGAATAAGAAAGCACATGCTTAAAATTAAGACAAAACACATGCTTAAATCTCCCACTCAATTGTCCCTGAGTGCTGTCATTGGGGTGAGATCCTTTGAGTCCTCCATACAACATGAGCTTGAACCTCTGCTTTTCTTGCAGAACTGAACACAACAAGAGCCGCCAGGATGCCTTCATAGTCATTTCTCTACAGCTCATTCAGTCCCTCCTGACCTGTGTCCTGGCACATCTCACCTTTCCACCACCTCAAACATCCCCCCATGGCTAAGGAGGGCAGGCCTGTACTGGAGGCAGTGTCAGCAATGCATGACAGATGACAAATACAGGTCAACAATCTCTCTGTCTACACAATCTACAGCCAGGAGCACTCATCAGACGACCTGCGGGCATGTAGGTGTGGGTGTGCAGGTCTCAGGGGGAGAGTCCCCTCACGCATCCTCGTACGCAGGTTACCTCTTGCTTGTCATGGTTACACTTCTCGCACATGGCCGGCGAGGAGTAATGATGGAAGACGGAGCCCGATAGGTTATCGATGATCATTAACTCCCCGTCGAAGGAGTCCTTAATAATTAAAGAGACACTGTCCAGCCATAAGTTCTCCTAGGGGACAAGAAAGGGGGGAGGATGGGAGAGATCATTTTAAGAATGCCGAGTTTTTTGCTTCAAAGTTTCATGTGTTGGGGCTGGGTTCTCCACCCTGACTCATCTGGAGCAGCACCTTGTTCTGCAGGTACCTGCACAGGGTCACTGGGGGAGCATTTGCTCCTTAGAGTGTGTAAAGGTGCCAGAGTTCAATGAAAAAAAATAAAAGGAGGAGGGATTGTCTTCACTCCCTGTCAGTGCACCATGGCACTGCTCACACCTCCCTTCCAGCTCTGCTGGAGTGCCTCACTCTTGATATGCCATTTCCCCTGCTCTGTTCTTCTGAGCTCCACTCTCAAATTTGCTCCTAACTCACCTTTCGCTGATCTGCTCCATCCCTCCTCTGCTGGCCCTCAGGTTCCTACACCATGATGACAATGAACAGGACCCACTGCTATCACAGCCTTGTCCCCACACGGTGCTACCAACTCAAAAGTCTACCACTGAAAGCAAACCTTTCACCCTGAGGTGGAAGAGTCTTTCTGCTACAGCTAAGCCCTCTGTCATCTAGTCTGCCCAGCTTCTGCCCACAGCTACTTGCTGCAGTCTCGTTGGTAAGCTCAAAGGTGTACTCACCTGCGCTGGAGAGTAACATCTCATGCACAGATGTCCTTCAGGATCTGTTCTCCCACCACCGCCTCCTGTTCCTGCTGCTTTTCCCTGTCCTGAATTCGGGGAGCCTGACTTGCGGGAGCACAGCCCATGTGCAATTTCCAGCTCTATCTCAGCATCCATCTCTGCATCCTCCTGGGCCTCCTTGTTGCTGTCGTCGAGATGTTTCATGAGCACAGCTACCACCACATTGATGAGGACAAACTGGGCTGTGAGTACAAAGCTGACAAAGTACAGTGGGGAGATGAACTGCAGGTTGCTGAGGCAGCTCCGGTCATCGTGGCTGCAGTCACGCAAGGTATCCTTGAGGGGAAGTTGGGTTTGAGAGGGAACGATGGAAGGAAGGAAGGACTACAGTAAGAATACAAGCTTGGCTGCTCTTTCTACCAAAAAATACTGATGCCAATGGAAAGAACAGGGCAAACCTTTCTATCACCCCACACCCTCTGGGATCATGAGGTTCTCAAAGAATCAAGGATGCTGTCTGATCATGTGCTTTCTGCATATGAGCAAATACATCCAAAGGTGTACAGAGCAAACTACTTCCAGACCATCACATGTTGCTGCCACCGTAGCCACACACATGTGAGCGAGAACAAAACTGAGCAATCTGCTACTGCATTCTCCCATCCAGACTCAAAAGCACCCTGTATGTTCAAAGAACTTTCCGCTCTCCCCGTTCTTTGAAGGAAGGAAGTGTTTATTTTTTATTGCCCTGGTAGCCCTGCAGATGGGTGTCATGTCCAACGCACCTACATTCAGCTTTGATAACAGGCCTTATGACAGTGGATATTCCCTCTTAGCCTGGACAGTCTTCTTGTTCCTCCCAAGGACAATTTGCACTTTTCTCAGCCAGATGTCTGTAGGACTAGATGAGCCCAAGGTCTGAGCTACCGTGGTGGGGTCCCCCAAGCAGGGGCCTTATCTAGCAACTCAGCTCCTGCGCACCTTCCTTTTTCTAGCCCAAGCACTGCTGAACAGAGCACACATCAGAATTTCTCCTTCCCCACAATAAGGACATCCACACCCCTGAGGCCCAGTTACCTTCATGATCCCATTCCAGTTGTCACCTGTGGACACCTGGAAAAGCGTGAGGAAGGCCATCCCAAAGTTCTCAAAGGTGGCGTGGCGGCTCATGCCCTCGCAGGGGTTCTCATCATTGCATACTGAAAGGAAGGGGATCACAGCTATCAGCAGATGACACTTTGCTGGCCCTGAGATCAACAGCAAGAACTGGGGAAGGGGACTTCAGGCTTCTCATAGCCTGGAGACCTCAGGTAATGACCTCAGCACCCTGCCCAACAGTTGGCTGTTGCCCAGCAATACAGAAAAAATCCTTGATGGCCCAGCCCAGGGATATCAGGCAGTGTAACTCTGTTGCTCAGAGGGATCCTCCCAATGTGTCGTTGTGCTGCCTTTCTTCTTGATCAATATTCCATAGCAAGAGACATAAATAAGCCTTCCCTGAGTTTTTCCTGTAATCTTAAAGGCAATATCAAGGTAGGCAGTGCAGAAAAAGCAAAAGTTTAAGAACGAAAGAGAAACCAGACACTGCTTTTATTTTGTTAGGCTGTTAGGACAACAACAATTTAGAGGGAAATTCCTCTTATATTAATTATGCATAAGGGAGAATAAAGGCCACCAAGTAATTCAGTCCCTTTATTGAATGACTACTGGTTTTGAGAAACCTCAGCTTCCCAGCAGGTCTCTAGCTCATGCTGGAGCATAGTCTGCTTAAGACTTACCCAGTTTTCCAAAGAGCTCCACTCCTAGAGCAGCGTAGATGAAAAAAAGGAGCATGAAAAGCAGTCCAAGGTTTCCCACCTGAAAGCAAACGGCATGGTCAGCCTACCCCAAAGCTTATTTCATCTGTACAGGCAAGTGTTTCTGTCTTTCAAAGCCTGAAGAGAACAGCAGCAAATTCCCAGTGTACAAATGCAACCAAACAGTTGCTCAACACATGGGAAATCACCAGTGATGGCACCAGTTGCAACTGGACTTGAAGGATGCTCTTTTCCCAGTTGCCTCCACTCCAGCACAAGCTCTGGCCAGGGCTGACTGAAGTATGCAGTTCCTGGGCCAGGTAAAGAAAAGCACATGGGAGCAGGGGCACAGAAGGTGAAGCCAGTTTGGCTGGGTGAAGGACAAGCTATGGATTACAGCACAGAGACGTGTCCTGCAGTGCTACATGCCACACCAAGCTGCCCAAGTCCCTTGAAGCTATACTCATATGAAGAGCGCAATAGCAGTGCTCCAAAAAGGCAGGGACACAGGTACACCAGCTCCTGCCATGAACCAGGCAGAGCATGGTGGGGCAAAGCACCAGCCACATGTGGAGGTTACAGCAAGGCTTGTGGAGGGAGTAGGCAGGTGGGAAGGAAGAAGGGTAGAGAGGCCCTCTTGAAATGTGTGGAGAGGAGGAGAAGACAGAAGAGGAGACTATGAGGGAACCAAGAGGGAAAGCAGAGCTTTCTTTGCATCTCGTGAATAATAGGTCAAAGCCTGATTTCTGGGCCTCCAGCAGCTGCTGTTTGGAAACCCCCCAATGCGAGGATTGCTGCTTCATGGTGCACAAAGGCAGCAGTGCCACCAGCAACATGGGCACTGCCCCCAAGTCCTCACTCTCCCAAATCACGCTTGCCGCTAAATCTCCTGCCTCCCAGCGCATGGGGCAGCTGTGTTATACATGAGGAGCAGGAGGGGGTTTTGGAAAAGGCAGGCTGAACAGTAACAGAAAATGCCAGTAACAGTTAGAACACTGTTGGTGGAAAAAGAGAAGGCAGGGAAAAATTAAGCACGTAACTGGTATATGGGTGTTTTTGAAAACCAGTGCCTCGTCTGAATGCATGTGGTCACTGGGCCTTTGTTAGGATCATCCACTTCAGGAATCTAATTTAGTCATTGCAACTGCTGTGCCATCCAAATTCAGGAGAAAAATGAATGATTCAGCCCACCCACTCCCCCAGGCTGCCAGATCCTGGCTCCCTACATACTCAGTGGAAGGAATTATTTCTGATGACTAAATTGGACACCATAGTAAATGCTCTGAACACACACCTCTGGGTCTGTGTCTACAGGGCTTTAAGAAAAAGAAGTTAATAAAACTTAGCTAAAGGCTAAATTTCCAAAGGGGTCTTTAAAATTAAAGCTCTATTCACTATTAAGAATTGTTGCAGTATAACAAAGACAGGAAGGCAATTGAAACAGGACAACTGGAGACGCCTTATATGCCATTAGCAAGCCAAAATCCCTGATGTGAGTCTGTGCTCTAGGAACATAAAGAGAAAGGTCGAGAGGAGGAAAAAGCACAAGGGAAAGGACAGCTTATTTTAAACTGCTTCTTTTGGCAAAGCCAATAAATCTTGGAGAATAATATTACAGATAATTCAATTGTCCCCTGAAGACTCAATATATAAAATATGGAGACTAAATTCAATCCTTTAACAGTGAAACTGGAGGATTTTAGCCCTGCTTTAAGTGCAGAGTTTTACACAACTTTAACTGTAGAGTGATTTTTGATCCCTCTGTTATATAACTTTATTAAATGAAGCCAACCTGTTACAGAAGGAAGCAAAAGCCAACCAATAGAAAGTTGGATTGATCATAGGCTTTGATGTTGCAAGGATTAAGCACTACTTGGTATTACTTTCCAGGGAATACCTAGAGGCCAGACCTTTAGACATCTGCTTGTGAGGGTTTTGTGGCCGATATTAATGACCTCCAAAAGACCTGACCTATCACCTTGGTTAGCAAAGGAGCTGTAGGTGAATGTGAGAGAGAAAAGTCAAAATTTATAAAGTACGGAATAATATACTTGTGGTTTGTGGCTAGGACCAGACAGCAGGGCCCAGAGGCTTGAACTGAGGTCCCAGCTGTGCCTTTTGCTATCCTGAGCAAAAGACTTCACTGCCTGATGACTCAGTTTCTCCATCTACATGACAGGGATATGAACATTTCCTCCTATTTATTCTTTATATTTTGGGGGTAGAAGTTGAGTGTCACCATTTAAGTGCCAATATACCACACAGTCCTTCTACTGAGGGCTTCTGGATACTACTTCAGCCAGCTCTTAATATCTGTGTGTTGCATTTATCTGGATTGCAGAATAAACATGCCACAGACATGCAGACGCTGGATCTGGAGACCTGCTCCATTCTAGATCCTTGCCTGAGCAAATCAGCTGTTGTAGCTCCTGGAATGGAAAAGAGCAAGGTGCAAAGAAGCTGCACTGAGCCAGCCTGGGGCAGCAGAGCCAGAACTAATAAACATTACTGGCCCAAAGCTGCCTGCTGTAAGAACATCCTTAATCTCCTGTTCTTTCCGTTGTCCATTGTATCTCAGCCGCCAACTATCCTGGATGGCAATATTATTATATATCCTATATATGAATTATATTATTATTATTAGACAAAAATACAAATTATTATCATATAATGAAAAGTGTGAGAGATCAGACAGAGCACAAGATCCAGGAAAGATCACACTGTTTCCCCCTCACTTTTGTGCCACAAGATTCCTCTAATTCAGATTGACATTTATTGTCACCAACATCAGAAGTAAACTCCTTGGGTAACTACTCATGCTGTTTCCAGATTGATTTTCAGCTCTGCATCACTCACTGAGACTGGCACATTAGCTGATAAATCAACTGACAAATGCCCATGCCTTCTGATATCATGCAAGATAGCTGCTTGCTCAGGGCCTGCCAGGGGAATGGTCTGATGTATGATCAGTAGAGCCACTTGGTGCCACTACTTCTTGCTTAACAATTCTCTCTGGAGGATCCAAAAGGAAGGGGACCAGTCTCCCTTGCTGCTCATCCATCACAGAGGATCTTCACAGTGGGCTTGAAGCCTGTGTAAAGCACCGTGTCAGCATCTCATTTGGGAACAGCTGCCGCTCACAGCTCATGAAATCCTTCTGTCTAGCTGTCTTGCAGTAGACACTTAACTGCCGGCTGCGTGAGCCACAACAGAGCGCGTCACTGCTTCTCATAGATGAGAGGCTCAGAAACACAAAGGGATCCAGGAGGAGAAAGGAAGAAAAGAAAGTAGGAAGGGGGAGGCACTGGCTAAGAAAAGGAGTGACAGGAGTGCGAATGAAAGAGAGGAGGAGAAAAGGGGGCGTATGTGGGGAAGGGTGAGAGGAGCAGAGACGCAAAGACCTCCTTTCCTCCTGAAATGGCTGCCAGTCACTCTCCCCTTCTTATGGAGAGGGGAGAGAGGAGCTGGGGACTAGCTGCAAGTGGTAGACACCAGCTAGACATGATGGGAAGAAATCTGCCCTTATCCAGGAATCAAGCCTTGTTTCATTCACCCACTGGAGGACAGAGATATGAGGTGAGCTGTACCCCCATGACTGACATGATAACCTAGACAACATCTGTCTGAGGAGAGCTGTACCCCCATGACTGACATGAAAACTTGGACATCACCTTCAGGCAGTTTTCTGCACAACACAGTAGACCCCACGTCTGAGATCTACAAGAATCAACCCTTTGGAAAAAGGGTGCATGGCAGGGCGGTTGGACTAGATGACCTTTAAAGGTCCCTTCCAACCCAAACTATTCTATGATTCCATGATAAAAGGAGAATCTTTGGGGCAGCTGGTCTGTTTTACCTGTGGCAGGGCTTGAACAACTGTATCCAGCAGTGCTCGCATTCCTGTGGCCATCTTCAGTAGCTTCAGAACTGCCACAACAAGCACAAGAGAAGTGTCATTCAGACTGAGCGCAGAAGGTCCATGCTTTGTGTGACTTACTAATGGCAGTAGCACAAGACAGATGTCCTGTCTCCCCTTGCCCTAGAAAAACTATATTGTCCCCCTTGGCCCCCTTCTCCCTTTGCCCACTTCTTTTGACTGTACAACCCCAATGGTTCCTTCTCCAGTGCATTTCCTTCTTACTAAATACACTGTTTCTGCCACCCATGCCTAACGGATTTCTGCTTCACCTAGAAAATCTGGCTAAGAGCCCTGTTTCTCCTAGCACTGTGCATCACAATTCTCCCTCTGGTCTGATTTTTCATTCCATCACTTTCTCCTCCTCCAGCCACCATCTGTTAAGGCAGCTTAGGACATCTTGGACACCACCAGGAAGATTCCTTCCCCTCCCTGTGCAAACTTCAACCTGCTTGGTGGCCCCTTCTCCAAACACCACTGCCATACTTGCCCCATAAAAGAATAACAGGGAAAGTTCAGCTCTCCCATGATCTGCTCACCCTCCTGGTCCTTTACCTCCTGTTAAAAGCACTGCATCTAAATGCCTCGCTTAAGGAAGCCAGAAAGCCTCTAGGCTGTCCTCCGTCACATCCTCTGCCTCCCTCCGAGGGCTAGGGACAGGGGGAGCCCATGACTCTACAGCCACTGCTCATGAGTCATGGCACCAAGTCCCATTCCATGGCCACCTACACCCCTGCCTCTGGCCAATGTCTCTCTCACCCCGGGCGATGCGCAGCACCCTCATGATCCGGATGATAGTGGGGTTAATTGGGAGAGCAGCATTGATTTCAATCTCTTCCAACGTGATGCCCATGACAGACAGCAGCACAATGGCCAGATCTAGCTGGTTCCACCTTAAGAAGAAAAATAGAAGAGAATAAAGGAAGATGGAGTTTTTCCATTTTCCTGAAAAAGAAAGTGAATTGTCTCCGCTTTAACCTAAATATTTCTTTATGTATGAATTCAAGGCCCCACTCTGAGTCAGCCTATATGGGCTTTTGCAGACAAACAGAGATTCACTTTGCACACACCCTGAGCAGCCAGAGGCAAGCCAGCCTGATCTGAAAGCATGGAGCTGTGTTACTATGGTGCTATGCTTTGACTAATGGGCTCAGCTTTTTACAGCCTTACTACCTCGAATCAGCTTCGTTATATATGTTCTGCTTCAGCATGCTCCCAGTTTGCCTCAAGGGCAGGAAAAAAATGACTCTCTCTAACCCCACCTCCTTAGCTTTCCAGCCTAATCAGCAGGTGCCAACCAAGAGGCAGTTTTTGGACAACTCTCACTATTGCCTAGGCATTGCAGCTCATGCGGGCAGAGGTTAGGTCCATGCTGTGCAGAACTGGGAGGCGGTCAGGGCCCTCCGCTACCACCTCACACTCCAGATAGGGATCCATCCTCAAAACCTCCACCCCAAACCCAGTTGTCCCACAGCCACAGTTGACATACCCCTCTGCTCACCTGTCTTTGAAGAATCGACGCAGACCGAATGCCACCAGCTTGAGGACTGCCTCCAACACAAAGACAGTGGTGAACAAGTAGTTGCAGTACTTGAGGGCGGTCTCCAGGGACTGCCAGCAGAAAGAGAGGGTAAAGAATTGAGGCAAAAGCAACATCAAGCACATAATCTGTGAGGGGACTCTCCTGAGTGCCAGAAATTCATTGGGAGGTAGGAAAGCTGCCCCATGCCTCTTACCTACTTGAATGTGGAGGCTGCCTACTAAGGGCAACCATCAGCTGGCCCCTCTGCCCCATGCTGTTCCAGGATCGGTTATTGCTCCTTTCTCCTGTACTGCTCAGCATAACAGGGAGGAGGAGGCTATTGCAAGGAGAATCTACCAAGTACTATCAGACTCCTCTTCTGCCAGTAGCCGATGCCACCTGGATGCCACCATGTTAATGGCACTGGCGTAGCTATCAACTAGGAGCGAGGCATGAAGGTTACTACAGTTATGGATATATGTCATCTCTGATGGAAGGAAACCCCTCTGTGCCTTGGTCTGGGGCAGGCATATATCATATGTCTTAGCTGTTGGGCTTCTGATTCTTTCATATGCTGCCCTTCTCCACCACTGACGACCAGTGTGAGCAGTGGGCAGCATTTGGTGGCACTTCATACTGGAAGGGTTCAAAGTGCTTTGGCAAGATTCTTAGCAGAGCCTGACAGCAGGCTGGCATGGCTAGACCTGCATTCCAGGGGAAGGAGCTGAGGAGGAATGGAGTGACTTGTTCAGGAACAAAGGCCTGACGTGAGGATGACAACACATAAAGGTTGAGAGTTCCTGCAGAGTAAAACTGGGCACCGTCAAGGGCAAGATAAAAGCTAGGCAGTTGGGCAAGATGGGCAAGAAACAGAGAAGCCTGGCAGTGGATTTGAATGAGGACACACAGATTCAGTTCCTGATCAAAGGCTGAGCTACCTTGAACAGCATTTGCTCAGACATCAGAGCTGTCACCCAAACCAAGGGTTGACTGAAAACTGAAATGCCACCAGGCAGATGTCATGATGAGTCCTTTGTCTACATATGGAAGTAGAAAGCTCCTTTGACATGTGCAGCATACATTTTTTGCATCAAAGGCATCTACAGCTTTGCAGCTTTGCCATGAACACGAGAGGTACATGGTCTTCCCCAACCAAAGTATAAAACTTATTTGGCCTTCAAGGCCCTTTACTGGGAATCACCCCCTGCAGCTGAGAGAGGCTCTGCTCAATGTTTTGGCCCTGCAACTTCTTTTATGGAAAAAAGGTGACTCGGTAAAGACATCCCATCCCATGATACACAAGCAGCCACTCTAATCCTCTCAGCTCAGGCCATATGGCAGGGGAATTGGACTGACATTTGGAAATCTGATGCAAAGTCTGAAGCTCCCAGGACACTGCTGCTTCCACCACTCCTCTGTTAGGATCCAGGGGAACATACAAAGCAGACCAGGCAGCTAAATTTGGGTGACCCATATATCTACTTTATAATATAAAGCACATGCTTTGTAGGGGGCCAACTCTTGCTTAGATGCCTTCTCTCTATTGATTTTAATGGATAACAAGTGTCTGAGTAGGGGCTACCTTTCTGGATACATATAAAACTCTTCATGTATCTTTGCCTACTACATTAACTCTTGCAACACTTCAACAGTATTTTTTAGAGACACTCAATTGTCCTTCCTATGCTGGTGGTCAGTGGTCTCCAGAGAGCTGTAGCAAAATAACATAATGACTAGACGCAGGGCTTATCTCCACAATCTCACTCACCACAGGTTGGTTGTAGTGCTCCAAGGACATAGTGACCACGTTGAGGCAGATGATGAAAGTGATGAAGATGTCCAGATAGTGGCTGGTGCAGACCGAATGAATAAGGAGGCGTATGGGGCAGTAGGTAGCATAGTACGGCAAACGCTGCGCCTCTTCAGTGGAAAGAGGGAGATGGGCAGAGTTAGGAAGAAATTGGAAGAAAGAGAGAAATGGGTAAGAAACACTGCGCAGGGAGCAGGCATAAGAGAGGTGATAGGTGTTGAAAGAAAAGAGAATGAAGATGGGAGAGAGAAAGAACAGAAAAGGATAGGTAAAAGACAGGGGACATAGGAAGGAGGAAAAAAATGCAAAAAAGAGGAAAGTAGAAGTGGGAGAAAAAAGTAAGTAGAAAAAAGACAAGGAAAAGAACGCTAGAAAGAAAATCTGTTAGTCTATGTTTGTGGGAATGGTGCTACATCAGCATTTCATGCCTCGACAAATTAAGATCACAAATGATAAAAGGGAGCAGATGGTTCCAGGAGAGGCTCCATGATATCACAGGAGAGAGGGGAAAAACTGGAGCAGAGGAAGGGAAAGCATGCCCACAGGCTGTGAATGGAAGAAAACCATCAGTCTGGGGTAGTAGGGATGATTTCCAGGGGCAAGTATGCTTTTGCAATTTTTGTCTAAAGGTAATACAGAAGAGGACAGAAACACCAGGAAGAGGGCTTGCTTCACCACAGAGGGTATGGGACCCCAAGGAGTGACACTGCAACTTTGATGGAAAAAGCCAGGAACAAAACACAGGGGTCTTCCTCTTTTTTCTCCCCTCCCTCTTCTTTAAATTTGGGTTTAAACACAAAGGATGGTCTTGCCAGGTCTTCCCCAAACACCAGCTGGGTTCCAGGAAGCCCAGGTGGGACTAGCTCAAGCCCAGGAGGTGTACCGATGCATGCACGTCCTGTGTTGACAGTGCACACCAGCATGTGCACAGGTGTATTTTTGGTACACATTGTCTCCTGAGGGGCAGGGTGCTGAAACCCCAGTGGCTTCTCCAGAGTCCCAGCAGACCTCATCAGCCACCCCTCTTCCCCAGACCGCCCCGGTGAGGTGCGTAGCAACGCGGCAGTGGAGTGGGGAGGAAGGCTGAGAGCGCGGCCACAAGCAATGCGTTTTGGAGACTGGTCCATCAGGAAAGAAAAAGAAGAGGAGAAGGTTTTTCTCAGAAAACCTTGGCCTACGAACCGACCAAACACTTAGGCTGTGCCTTACTCCTTCGCTTCTTCTCCAGGCGGCGCAGGCGCTTCTCCTCCCGCCGGCGTGCCTCTTCAGCCTCCTGGTGCTGACGGCACTTGTGGAAGTTCTCCACCACCACCCCCACGAACATGTTGAGCACGAAGAAGCTGACGATGAGGAGGAAGGAGATGAAGTAGAGGAGCATCCAGGGGTTGTTGTTGGTCACCGGCTGGAGGAGGGGGGAGAACAGAGGCGGTCAATTGTTTGGATGCATGGTGGTATGGAAATGATGGGGGTGGGACCTGCCATGGTGATTGGCTGCTGGGGAGATGGGGAGGGGTTACGGAAATCAGGGGAGCGGGCTGGAAAGAGCTGGGGCTACATACAAGGCAGTTTGTGATTGGCTGACTGGATTTTGGCATCAGCTAGAGATCGAGGGCATGGGTGGGAGTCAAGGGCAAGGGCCCGCCTACACAGAGTCACCCACAATTCAGGCACAACACCAGCCGCAGGTTGAGTACAGCACCAGTATGTGGTAAAATGGGTGGTCCAGGCACTGGGAACACCTTTGGCTCGAGGGGAAGTAGAGACCACATCCACACACCACCAAAATGGCAATGAGACTGGAATAGAAATGTCATTTAGGCTCGGAGAGAAAGGAGGCCCTGACTTTGACTGGGTCTCCTGACAAAAAGCCTACAAAGCCAACAGTGGTGCACCTTATGCAGAGGTTCAGAGGTAAAGGGAGCATCATCCCTGAGGTTCAAGCCTGTGGTACTGCATCCCATGGCAGGTGCCTACACCGGATGCTGTCAAGGTCATTGCCTTAGCAGTAGAGGAATAGGGATGCAGTGCACAGCAGCCCAACAGTCCCTGTTTTACAGGGTATTAAAATAACCATCTGTGGGCCAGGAGGGAGCCAGCGTGCCAAGAAAGGCACATGGCATTGTTGCTCTGTCATTACAAATAGATAAAGGCCTGCTGTGAGATCTAAACCAAGTAGAGGGTGAGAATTACTACAGACACCCACTGCACAGCCACAGCTGCATCTCCCTGCATGGACCAGGCATGACTGTGACCCCTTGCAAATAGGTGAGCAAAGGATTCAGAAGGGCCCTCAAGGGACTCTTGGTTTGAGGGAGGTGTCTGAAGCAGGATGTTAAAGCATGCTTCTGCCTTACTAGCCTGAGGAAAGTGAAAAAGGTCCTTTTCCATGGAAGTCTTCATACCTGCTGGTCAACAGCCACAGCATCTAGTCCATTATACATAATATTGACCCAGCCATCCTTAGAAGCCAGAACAAAGAGGGACATCAGAGCCTGCAAGATACAAAGCAAAGCAGATGTGGAGCAGGTGCATGTGGCAGGCTGGGAAAAAAAAAAATTGTGGGTTTACACTCTAACACGCACAACATTGAAATACTGTTCCTGCCTGTGTCTCTGCACACATCAAAACCTGCTCCTTCCCCCTGTGGAGGAGAGGGAGGGGGGAGACAGGAAGCCATGTGCAGCCAGACCCACCAGAGCAGAGAGGTTGTGAAGAACATCTGCTCTGCGGCAGGAGGAAAAAGCTCTCTGCTGCCATCACTTTTCTTTCCCCTGCAACCTGCAAGTATCATCCTGATATCAACCCACTAGTGACACAGCTTCTGCATGGATACCCATGCCAAATAAACGCCCCTCCTGGCCCAGGGATCAGGCTTCCCAGGCACTGCCTCTGTGCCCTGGGGAGGGGTACGTGTAGGAGGAGACAAACCCTGTGCTGGGTTCCCATCAGAGACAGGAGCTGTGGGCACACTCACCTGTCCCAGGTTGTCGAAGTTATACTTGTGGTGCACCCACTTGTAGTTGGCAGCCACGCAGTCAGACCGGTTGGTGATGTTCCTGATATCGACTCCCAGGCAGTGGTAGAACTTGCCTTTGAAGAGCTGCAGAAGGGGAGTCACCCCATCAGCCCCTTTCCCCACAGGGTTCCCCATGCAGAAGCTCCTGAGATGGTGGGTGGGCTGCAGGGCTGCAAGCCATGTGGAGCATGACAGGTAGGGATGACCACTAACGTGATGTAGAACAGACTCAATCATTGCTAAGGAGCCAGGGCCACCCTCATAAACCCACACCTGGCTTTTCAGCCTCCTCCGTTGCCCCAGGCCAGCAGTGACTGTAAGCCCTTACCATCTGACAGCCTTCAGGACAGCCTTTCTGGGTGCAATTAGAGCCACCGGCCCAAAAGGAAAAAAATCTGCTCTTCAGTCCCCACGAGTAATCTCCCCTTCCCGCTTCCCAGTTACTGAGAGAACTGATAGGAAAAGAAGACCTCATCTGAGGGTAAGAACCAGAAAAAACATCCCCTGCTTTCTCAGATACTTTTTTTCACAAAGCTGCAATGCACTGCACTGCTGTGGCTCTTCTGCCCAAGGCTCCTTTCCCCATATGGAAGGTACTGGATTGTGCATTTGTACAGATGCATCAGAGCAGACTAAGTATAGCGCATTCCCTGAGATGGAAGTAACACCCACGGCCTTGCTCCTCTGCAATGCAACAGCCGAAAATAAAGAGGATTAAATAAAAAAATAAAAGAGGGTTGTGGGTGGATTTAGGGCTCAGGCAGAGGGGGAGAAACAGAGCTGACTGGAAGCAGGGTTCATGCAAGCAGGCGCTGAGCTGCTTGCCCTTGTGGTGTGACACAGAAGTGCCCAGTAAGCCCTGTGCTATGCCAGCCCTGGGCTCTCCCTATAATGCTGACCCAAACCCTGATACAACTCCTGCTAGGTGTGAGCATTAACTCCTGTCTTGCATACCCAGCAATGCCTGCACTCGCTGAACACCTGGCTGTCCTTGCCAAAGGCTGTGGAGACATCATGATGGGAGACAGCTCATGGAGGAGGGCAGGTGCAGAAAATTTCCTGGCTTGCCAGTCCCTCCTGCTCTGCTTGGTTCCCTGTGCCTGTTGTAGCACCTAGGAGTACAGGTGCTCATGGTAGGGGTAGGGGCACGGAGGCTGTTTGATAGGCAGTAACAACTTACCTGCACACCCAGGATGCCAAAGATGATGAAGAAAGCGCAGCAGATGAGGACAATGTTTCCTATGGGCTTGAGGGAAGAAATGAGCGTCTCCACCACCAGCTTCAGGCCAGGGGCTCGGCTGATGACTCTGGAAGGGAAGGAAGGGGAGGGGTGACAGAAGGACAGGGCAGGGATGTTCAACCTGAGCTAAGCATTTTCAGCAGCAGCGGACCCCCACTCTCCCTGTGCAGTGACGCATCAATGGGGATCACTCTCCTGTGACCAAAAAGCTGCTTCTGTCCCATGGGTTGGTTGTCTGATGAGGTACGTCCAGGGCCAGAGCCACATGGCTAAGGGGAACCTCGCTGTGGCTTATGGCTTGTCAAAGACCACACTTTGCCTGGCACAGCAGGATTTGACTGTGGGACCCCTCCTGCGGGGGCCTGGTAGGAAAAGGGGGCCTAGCAGGACTCAGTGGGGCTCTGACCGGAGGGGACGTAAGGTGCGCAGCAGCCGGAGGACTCGCAGCACCCCCAGGATTTTGGCACCACCAGCAGAGGCCACCGACACCACAATGTCAATGAGAGACACAAAGACCAAGAAGCCATCCAAGATGTTCCAGCTGCTGCGGAGATAAGCCTGATCCCCAAAATACAGGCCTAGAGACACCACCTGCAAGAGAGGGGAGAGGAAAGGGGGTTAAATGGCTCCTCTCTCTGTTGCCTGGTAGAGGGCAGCTGTGGGGAGAGGGGGAGGATGGGGAACAGTTTTCAACTCCACATGACACTGAAGTGTCATCTCATCATCTTTTTCCTTTCACCTGGAAGGCTATGAAGGAAAACGTCTTTGGGGAAATTGGTGGCACGTAACGCCAGAAATAACAGGGCCATGGTGTCTTCTCACCTTTCCTCTGCCTCCCTGAGCAACAGGACACTGTAGGGAACATGCAGGAAACTTCTCCCTGACATACCACAGACCTGAGGCAAGTTTCCCAGTCCAGAGATCACCTGGGAGGTAAAATTGGGCACCAAAACCCATACTTTGGCTCCTAAGGGGTTGGTTTCATTCTCAGCAGTTCTCCACACCAGCAGGTGCTACAGACATCGCTGGTCTTGGGGAGAGCTGAGCACCCTGCAAATCATGGCTTTAATTTAGGTATGAATTTTAGGGGTGTTAAGTTCAGGCACACAGTTTTGACACTGTCTTTACCCAGTTTTGGGACTCTTTTTTTTCTTTCCCAATCACAAGAGGGTAATAACAACATTTCCCTATTGTCGTAAAGTATTTAGACACCTATTGAATAATTATCTCAACTAAGAGCATGTTCTTCATATTGTTGTTATTTCCCCCATTCTTGCTCCAGAAGGAGGGGAATGGACATCTGACATTATTACAAAATCCATACCTGGAGGCCAGCTATTCCTCCAGATACTAAGATCCCTTTGGGTTTAAAGTCTAGGATAAACATCCCCTCCGTGCTTGACAAGAGGGGACTCAACCCCAGGCAGTATCTGCCTTTACCAAGGTAGCGGGAAGGACTGGCACACTAAAAAGATGGAGAGATTTTAGAATGGTGCTGAGCAAACATGAACCATGTTTTCCATGATGCTGGGAAAAGGCTCTGAGCTGTTCATCTCCACGGTAACTTACCTTCAGTGTCATCTCAGCTACAAAAATTGCTGTGAAAATGTAGTTGGACACAGTGAGAAAGATTCTCTCCTAGAAAAAAAAACAGAAAAAGGCCTCAAATGGACCTTGACTTCCTCTTGTTCTGAAAGTTGGGGAAATAAGAGAGGTGCCTCTGGCAAAGGTCAGTGCTGGGCAGCTTTTAGCTCACACAACTTTGCTCAGCCCTGTGCCACAGCTGGGACAGGATCCTGCGCAACTCTGCAAGAGCACAGTGGATAGGATTTGCGATGCATCCTGCAAATCTAGTTGCAAGGTGCTCTCTGCCCTGTTCTGCCAGTGCTGCTCAGTCCTGACATGCTGCACTGACCTGGGACTCCTTCCCAAAGGGCTGCTGAGGACCAACCACTGGATTTTGTGTAAGTGCAATAGAGTCTGGGGGTCAGCTAAGGCAGACATGCAGAAAAAGCCATTTCACTAGCCAGCTCGAGACATCTCCAAGATAGCTCAAAAGCAGCATACATGAATGATGACATGCCATTTCTACAGAATGGAAGTTACTTCTATCTTTTAGTTCCCAGTCCCTGTCCCTTTCGTTAGTCATGTCGTAACTGCAGGTGCCTGGGGGACTCTCTTACTCTCCAAGAGGGAGGGAACTAGGATTACTATATTATAAAGTGGGTTGCCCCATTATAAGACCCTGCAGGGGAAGCACACATTATGTGAATTACTAATACTTGGGCATTTGAATAGATGAGTGGGAGTTGGTGTTGAATGCTGAAATTCTTCCAGAGGTCATACCAGTGCCAGGAACACTTACGAACCTCTGTCAGAGGTTGTGCTAAAAAGCAGGTGGGAGGAAATGGTGCTCACCGTGCTTCTGTGTTCAATCTGCGGTCTCTCCAGGGCAATGGTGATGCAGTTCAGGAAGATGAAGGCCAGCACAACATAGTCAAAGAGCTTGTGAGCAATGATGGTTTGGCAGAGGAGGCGAAACCTGCAAGACAGTTCCAGTAGGCACCTGTGCCTTGGGCAGAGCAATGTTAGGAGCTATGAGGACAGAGAATTGAGAAGTCTGGCCAAAACTAAGCTCTGACATGGCAGCTTTCCTATCACTGATACTGATGTCCCTTGCCATGGCAATATCCCAGGGTGGCTCACTGTCACACAGGGAGCCTGGAGCAGAGCAAGGGTAGAGCAAGGAGCTGAAACTTCATCCCTTGCCCCAGTGCCAGAGTGGTTTTCTAACCACTATGGTCTGTGCTCCTCTCTTGCCCTGCAGAGAAGAGCTGAGTTTCAGTTTTCCTCCCAAATTCGCACTTTGTACTACCCCAGGGCAAAGAGGACACATGCTGAAAGCTGAGGAGAGGCAGGTAGGTTGGCTGTCATGGGGACCACACTGCTCTGAAAGACAGTGTGCCTATTAGGATAGGTGTCACACAGAACAAAGAGCTCTCCCTCATGACCTGTAATGAAACCCCCTTCTTTTCAAGGAACGATGCACATGGGTGAGAATACTGTTGACTGGAGTACATGGACATTTTCTCCTGGTGGGAAGACACCTTTAGCAGGAAGAATTTATTGCAAATTTCTTTTTTTTAGGCAAGAATTCTAACTTTGCTCTAAAAGGTGTGATATGACTGCTGATAAGTTGGTACAGGGACTGAAAATTAAATGGAGAGACTGTTCTGATACCAGGGTAGGAAATACCAGTATCATAGAGTCGTTAATAATACATTCTTTCTCCTTTTTGGGTTAATGTTAGTATTCTCTGCCTTGCGTGGCTATAAATATTTATGATTACCCAAAAGAAAAATGGGGTGCTCCAAAGGAAGGGAAAATCACAACAGCTATTTAGGATTCTCATCCTTCCTTTCATATCCAGAATCAAGAAAGAGAAGTGTTGTTTGGTTGTAGAAGGGGAGATGGAGGAGACAAAACACATTCCCAGCTGGTAAGTTTAAAGTTGCAACCTAACATGCAGCTCAGGTTATGTGGCCAGCACAGCAACAGAATCTGCCCCATTTTCTCAACCCTCTCATGGCAAAAACTGCACTAACCTGTTTTGTGGAGAGAAAAGATATATGGACCAGTCTTCCCGTAACTCACACCAGTCTGGCTTATAGACTTCCATCATCTTCCGGATACGAAAGCACAGGCTCTGGAGGGACGCAGCAGAAGCAAGCACTACTGGTTACCTTCACACATGCCTGAGAGAGGCACTCTTCCTTTCACATCTGACCCCAAAACACCACTACCTGCAGTTCTCCAGGTGCACTACCTGCCTTTCTTTAAGCCCCCGAATGAGGAAATGGACTCAAAGAGCAACAAGCCACTGAAAAGGAGGTAGGAGCTGCTTTGCCAGGGCCTGTTTACCTCTTGGCATCTGGCTTCCTCACCAAATCATTACAAATAAAACTGCTGGTGTCCTTTCCAGAGCAGATGTAGTCCATGATGCCTTCTCAGAGTTGTTGGAGTGGCTCTGTTACATGAAGACAGTTTTTCCTCACTACCTCAGCTAAACGAGAGGCCAGGACAGGAAAGCCTTCTGTTGGCACTTGGGCTCAGAGGTGGTTTAATTTCATACAGCATATATGTCTGTTCAAATTTCTACTGACCTCCCCCCCGCTCCATTTTTTCCACCCTTTGATCTGCTCACAGATTGGGCATTGCAGTTTCCCAGGCTGGCACCACAAAACTTACTTGCCTTGTCTCTTGTGCCTGTGCTTTCTGCTCTGATCTGCTGATGTTCCTCATGCAGAGCTCTCATTTCTCACACAGCTTGACCTTTCCTAGCGTGTAGAAATCACTGGCTGCACTGCTCTGAAATAACAGCCCCCGAATGACCATGCACGTGCCTCACATCTGCCTTCCTCCCACCATCCACCTGTATGACTGCCTTGCAGGCAGCCTGACAATGTGGTTTGAGCTTGTCTGGACCTAGAAGGTCTCATCTGCATTCAATGTTGTCCTCCAGCTGTACTTAAAGGACCTTTTTGCAAGCTCTCCCATCTACATGGCAGGGAGACTGAAACTTGAGGATGGATTTGAGGTTCCCCACAGCACTGCAGTGTAACCCCAGGTTCCCTCCACCAAGTACTCACATAATCTATCTCTTCATCATCCTCTCCCCGTTCCTTGCGGTTGTTCATCTTTGGGAAGATCTCCTTGGCAATACTGGGCATTTTGCCATTGCAGTCTTGATGCTCGCTGGCCCCAGAAGCTGTTCCCAGCTTACGGGTCACTCTGTGGCCAGATGGGACAGAGGCCAACTCCAGCAGGTCACAGGAACCTTTGTTGTCCAGGGAGAGCGTCCGGCGGTGATGAAACACCCTTCCCGTCCTGTCCGGCTCCCCATCCACCACCCTGTGCCTTTCCCCAGACAGGAGGGATTCGTGCTCGGCAGAGGGAGGTGTGTACTTCAGGCTGTGTCCCCGGGCCAAGCTGTTCCAGCTGGAGCGACGGCTCCCCCAGGCCCCACTGCGGCCCCAGGCACCATAGTGGGAACTGCGAGAGCTGGACTGTAAGAGAACGGGATGGGGACTCAGTGACTCCGGGCACAAGGAGGGTGTGTGCGATCCTGTTTCAGATCACAGACTTCTCCCTGGGCCCCTAAGCCAGGAGGCTGCCATTTTTTAGCCACTGAGGAAGTTGCATGGTGGCAATTTAGCAGCAATCTCTGTAAATCTGACAATAACTTGATAATGAGTTAGCAATGGTGTTGGCTGTGATTACTTTATAGCAACATCTGTGTGCAAAGCACTTAAGGAGAAGGCAAATAGTAAAGCCAAAGGCCAGGTGCCTGATGTTCTTTCTTACAGCAAGAATAAATTTCTCCAAAAATCTGATTGGCAGCTTTTTATGCTGCCCTGGGGTAAAGGATAACACAAGGTACAGGGTGATGGATAATCTGACACACCATCTTTGAGTACAGTCTTAGTAAAAGGAAGAAATGAGAGAAACAGACTTGTTGGTTAAAGTCTATTCCAACCACATCAGCAACTTTTGTAGTACGTGGCTGCCAGATCTCTCTGTTTGGAAGTAACAGGGGTATGAACCCTTTGGGCACTGATGCACCCCCACAGAGCTCTGTGTGTCAGTGGGTAGAAAGCCCAGAAGCTAATGTTATAAGGTGGACAGGTCTGAGATGCATTGGCTGGACAGCCAGCAGTGCTTGGGGAAGTGCTAAGGGGCAGCACGACCTGCTATGGGGAGCTCCAAGTCAAGATTTCTCTCTTCATTGTTACAAAAGCTTCCAGAAAACCCATCCATTATGGGAACTGGCAGTTCTGGCATTACCCAGATAATCCTATGCTTTTAACTCACTCAGGGCATCGTTTTGTGCCCTGTGCTCTAGGAAAACAAGGAAAGGGCAAGAGGACAAAACATGTTTCACTCTAAGAGGTGGACTCTGTCTCCTTGGTGTTCCCCCTCTCCCACCAAAAGAATATAGATAGCTGAATCTCACACTCAATGGAATACAGATCAATAACCTGGAAATGGACATCAATAATCTGGAAATTTAGATAAATAACGTGAACTGACCTGGCTTCCTAAAGACAGGCAATGAGTTTGGGTTAGAAGCCTACAGCAGCAGTGCAATCCATCACAGCAATCCCCAGATGATGGCAGAAAGACAACAGAGTGCTTGGACTTCAAAAGAAGCTGCGACACACATTTCTACTCACTCACTCACCAAGGACCGCTGGTCATAGGTCATTCTCCCCAGCGACATCACACTGCTCTTCCGGGAGCCAACAGCAACACGGATCTGGTCAGGCTGCAGGGAGTTGCGTGAAGAGTTAGTGACCCCCCCAGCAGCCACTGGTGGGTTGGAAGAGGGCAAGGATGGGTCCAAGTGTCCATTAGGTGTCACAGGAATTGCACAGAGCTTGGGATCTGGGTGGAAAGATGCAGAAAGAAGAAGAAAGAGAAAAGAAGAAGGTGGGTTCCTCGCCATCCAGTGACTGTTTCGATGTCTAAGCTGTTTAGCATGTTAGCTGCAGCTAACAGAATATCAGCTGTTTAGCATCAATCAACATCGATTCCCTCTGATTTAGGTTGTTGTGGCAAAAGCAGTGCAAGCTGGGAAGACTTTGAAGTATTCTCCTCAGTCCTCAAAACTGATGGCAGCTGTCCTTGGGGCCAGACAGACAAGCAGAGTGCTGGTCAGGCAGACTTAGGCTGACAGACAGAGCAAGAAGCCGAACCCCGGCAGCAAGGGGAGGAGCGTGTGTTTCTGCATGCCAAGAACGGACACCTGCATCTTTGGGTCTGAACAAATACCACCAACTGTCAGACTGGCTATTTAAAGCAGTTAGGCTGAGATACTGAGAAAGAGACTAAGATGTGGGAAGACCCACAGCCATTGGGGTCACCTTTAAATTCCTGCAATCATACTCTTCATCCCAGTCTACCCGGACCTCTTCAAATGACTGATCATTGACCTTGAAGACCTAGGACACCTTTGAGGGGTATGTTAGGTGCTGTGGATGACCATCAACATTTGTTGAGGTGGATAGAGAGGATGGGGTACTGGATTTTAATGCCTGAAAGGACTAGAACAATCATTTTTGTTTGACCTATTGCATAATGAAGGTCACATATCCTCAACTGCACACAGCATCACAGCTGTGAGTGCACCAACAGGCTCTGTAACCTCTTCCCCATCTGCCCTCCTAGGGGTTTGGCTGCCTGCATTCAAGGTAAGCTCTGATATAGTGCAGCCTTGTAACCCAGGATCAGACTGCTGTGAAAACAGCGAAGTTGCACAAAAGAGCTGTGATAAGCCAATGCTGGAGCTCCTTGCTGTGGCATCTGCATTTAAGCTCAGACCTGTGTCTGTGGTCCTTGTCTGGGCTATGCTATGACTATGCTTGTGCCTGTCTTCGCATCTTGCTGATCCTGATCTTGTCTTACTGACCAAACCTCTTGGCTTGACCTCAGACCTGCTTCACCACTGTGAACTTGTCTAGCAATCACTGAACCATTGGCTGACCCTGGCTAGTGTCAGCAGACCTGCTCTGCTCACCTTGTGCAAGTATGGTGCCTTTGTTGGTGTGGTCCCTGCCCGCCTGCCTGGCTGTCCCTCCCCCTCAGCTCCTGGCTCTCCATCCATTGCAGAGCAAGTTACTCGTGCGTCTCCCTGCCACCAAGTCCTGTCTGAAGTGTAATACTCCTTGTAGAAAGACTTGCAGTCTTCTAGGAAAGACTTGGAGAGGTGGAGACCTTACCCAGCAGTTTGTAGGCAGACTGTTCCAACAGTTAATTATCTTTCCTAAAAATATGTGGCTTTTTTCAGTCTGAATTTGTCTAGCTTCAGCTTCCAACATTTACAACCTCACTATGCTTTTTTCTGCTCAATTAAAGAGCCATCTACCATCAGAAATCTCTCCTTATGGTTGGCACTCACAGAGTGTGTGATCAAGTCACGTCTCTGGTTTCTCTAAGCTTCTGGTTTCTCTTGCTATGAGGCAAGACTTCCAGATTTTTTCAAGTCCTTTTTAATGTGTTGGTATCCCCTATCCAAATGTGGGCCCCACATTTGGACACAGTGTTCCTGAAATGGTGGCCCTGAAGCTAAGCAGAGACAGTCTCATTTCTCACTCCTAGCTGTCGTTCTGTAAGGTCATTCAAGAACTGCTCCCCTTAGCTATCTCATTCCTCAGGATGCCAACATGGCTCTGTTTTTTCACAGATAACACCACAAACTAGCACGAAGTTCAAAAAGAAAACTGGTAAGTTCTTGGAGATGGGAGTGAATTTTCTGCAGAATCTGCTTTAAGATTTCTCACTAAACAGTAATGGGAGATAAGCAAATGAGGCTGTTTGAGCTATTGTACCTGAGCCTTCCTGGACTTCTTGGAACTGATCTAATTCCTCCATGTTTGATGAACTCTGATCTTCATCTGAGTATGACCGGTTGGCATCACCCTGGAAGACACAAATTTAGAAGTTGGGAACTAATAAACAGAAAAGACCATTTGTTCTTGTCTTTCATTGCTGTAACAACTTTAAATCCTCTTTGGCAGCCAGGCATCAGTGTGATCACTGGAAAGAGTCTCGTGTGACCTGGGATTGCTGAAGTACTGCGTTCTTGCTTTTGGAGGGGCAAAGGACTCACCCTAGTAGTGTAGGGTCTGTTGCACAGGATGGAAATTGTGAAGTCCTTCCCAGAGGGCTTGTCTCTTTCCTTGCAAGGATTAGCACTGTCTTTTTTTTTTTTTTAATAATGAAGCCCACCCTGAACTTAACAAGGAAAATGACAGAGGTGTGATACTTTGGGAGTCCTCCACCCCAGTACCCTCAAAGTGTCTCAGAGGTCCCCTTTTTTAGCACTTCTATTCCTCCTCCTCACGAGGCCTCAGTGGCAACTCACCTCAGCCTGGAAGCCCTCCACAAGAATGGCCACCAGCAGATTGAAGAGCACGTAATTGCCAAAAGTCATGAGAGCCACAAAGTAGAGGGATGCCCATGGTGAGGTGGAGGCCATGCCATTATAGAGCACAACATTCCAGTCCTCCTGGGTTAGGATCTGCAACCAGGAGCAGAGGCCACATAAACATGAAGGAAGAACACAAAGGGGATTCTCAGAAAAGGACAGTGAAAGGATATACATTAGGACCACATCAGGCCTCTTAAATTCCCCATAACCACACACTCGCTGCGCACTGTCACTGTCCAGCTGTGGTACTGCCCCGATAATGTTAGCTGAGCAAGAAGAAACAAGAGTGACCATGAGGACAGTCATGTGCTGAGGTGACGGTGTTAAACACAGGAGTTGCCACAAGAGGAGTGACCTTTGCAAACTGTCTCCTAGGAAGGAAGGAGCACCCCTGTCTGAGAGATACACCAGTCATTTGGTTACAACACGCAGTTGTTCTTCCTCCAAACATCACATGCTGGAGCCTTTCGTGCAGCCTTTTGTGCTGTCAGGAGCAAGTGCAATGCTCCACAATGAGAAAAAGCACCTCCTGATCCTCTTGACTTTGCCCTGGCCTACTCATAGAGAGCAAAGTGGGCTCACCTGGAAGACGGTGACGATGGCCCACAGCAGGGAGTCAAAATTCTTCCGGTCAGGAACTGTATCTCCTGTGTCTGTCCTGAGGCTGAACTTGCAACCAAAGATGTGCATTCCCAGGATGCTGTTGGGACAAGAAGTGGAGATGGTGTCAAATATAAATATCTCTGCCACCACAATGAGCTCATCAGAGTCATTCTCTTTTCCACCTGACAATCTAACACCACAGGAGTGAGCGGTAGAAAAACACAGCCAGACCACTGGGACCTATCTGTGAAGAAGGAGCTGTGTATTACACCACTATAGCTCACCAAAACCCCCTTGCTTTCCATCTGTACTGCCTCAGAGCTCACATATTCCCTCCAACCTGTCCTTCAGATCTGCTCTCTCCATTGTTCTTGTTTGCTCTCATTTTTCTTCATCTCCCTGCCACTGCATCCATGGGACAAACTTTCTTAGTTGCTTCCTGCTGCCCTTCTGCCAGAGTCAGCCTCCAGACTGAACTGTTCCTGCAGCCAGTGTTGATTAGCAAGAGATTTCGCCTATCCTGAAATGGGACATTATGCTCAACGTGCACATTTGGTGGCAGTATTTCTCCACCCCGTCC